ATTAGTGATACAGAAATAACTTTTTTTTCATACTTCTAATTTACTTTAATTAGTTTTAGGAAATATCTAACCATATGTAAATTAAACTGAATATGTATTTAAGTATTACGGTAAGACTCTCGCGTGAATTTCTTTTTTCAAAATGTACGAGAAGCACTTACTGCAGAGCTATTTGCGGTATAAAATATTAGCGTACTTTATCTGTGTACAGCGAATTACAGCTTCCACGCTTAAATCTGTATACCAACATTGCAAACGAATTCACGTCTTACGTGAGTTCAGTGTTTTCACGTGTTATTTATTATTATTTTTTATTCGGATAATTGAATTATTTGTAGAAGAATACCACGTTGCTTGTACTATGACTGTTATTAATTTTGTTTTATTTTCAACATAAGTTGTATCTGTTTTCTCATTTTCTCTATGGTTTTTTGTTTTTTAGGTAAGTGAAGCTTGTTTGTGACATTTTCGGATAATTTACCAGAAATGGAAACAGATTAGAAGCTTGAAATAATGACGTTTGCATTTAAAATAATGATTTTTCAAGCTTGAAGTAATGACGTTTGAAATTAAAATAATTGTTTATAGTTAAAAAAATAATGATTCGAAGTTAAAATATTGGTAATTACTTTACCCACAAAATTAATAAGCATTTTTAATATATAAACTATCCCTTGTAGATTATTACTTCATGCAAACTAACTATTTAAGCAAGAAAATCCGTAAAACGAACTCTGCTGGTTTTTCTTCGTGTTCGTTTAGATGCTTATTTGTGGGGTAGCCCCCAGTGGCACTGCGGTATGTCTGCGGACTTACAACCCTAGAATCCGGGTTTCTATACCCGTGGTGGGCAGAGGACAGATAGCCCATTGTGTAGCTTTGTGCTTATTTACAAACAAACAATTTTTGGAGTACGAATACGGTATTGAAATATAAAACATACTTGCTCCTATTGAGTAACAAATTGCACTCTATAATCAGCTGAATACTACTACTCATTAAGAATACTCATTCTAGCAAAGTTAGTGAATGTTATTAAAATGAGTTGTGTGTGTCTTAAGATGCTACATATGGATGCAAACTTAACCTGAAACCTTCTTCCGTTACGAAAGAGTATAACGTTATGTGCGTATGCATAAAATCGTCACCATTACGAATACGATAGCTTTAACCTCCACATACCAGATAGGAACGTGTTAACTCACCATCCAAAAAGTAGACAACGGTGATCACAATCCTCCTTACCAATGGATCACGTGGATGCCATATATTGTTTAATTAAATAAACATGTATCGCTGTTTACTAAATGTATGCTTTAGAGCGAAACGGAGACCAAATAAATGAAGCTATGTACAACATGGCCGAAAGTTTGGCCACGCTTTCTTGAGATTATATGCATGTAGTACTTACTTCGTGTAATCTTTGTTAAATATGTGTGTCCATAATATGCATTTCGTACTTATTTCGTGTAATCCTTCTTACACGCTTTCTTGAGATTTTGTATTTTAGTGAGTATGATGGTGTTTATGTGTTGTTACTGCTCTTTTATAAGACCTTCTATGCTGTGCTATTCGTAACTGTTTTTAACGAATAATCTGTAGCATCTATAACGTGAATGCACTCGTTAAAACTACACTAATATCACTAAAACGTTTTCACTCATGATGGATTTACTCCATGCGTTAGCGTGGGAATTGACACATTGCCCAAACGTACGAGGGTTAAAATATTATGCATGTTTTATACCAAATGGGGAAAACATGAAACAGTAAAACAGGATTTAACAATGATTTAAAAAGAAATAATTCGAGCTATTTCTTTCACTTTAATTGGAGATTCTCACAATAAAGTAGGAACGGACTAGAAGAAATCGACTTTAAAGGAATTATTGAAGTTTTCATCCTGCAGGTTGCGCGAAAGATAAGTTTCAAGCGATGATAACTGTAGCTGTTATTGAATTGCAAACGTTCGTTTTAGTTCTTATGTAATTTATTGTTTAAAAATATTCTTTAACGCTAGATTACTAAATGACAGTAGGGTTTTGGGATACATTTCCCTTTAGTCTAACTGTGTATTCTCAAATCTAAATAAAATTTACTATAATTTTAAAGGATGAAACCTTGTATCACTTGAGTTAGATTTTGTGGCTGACGATAATTGTTTAGAATTAAAAATTGAGAAATACATAAATATGATTAATTAATTTTTATAAACTAAATATGATACTTAAAGTGAAGGGACAGATTAATTGTTAAGCCATTTTTAGGGGGGGGGGTAGAATTGTGATTTGATGGGGTATAGTCGACCCTTGCCTCCTACCCCATAGACACATTCACAATGACTGCGATTAGAGAACGTACCATTCCACGGGAAAATCCTGCCAAGAACCTTTCAAATCTTTACCAGTGTTTAACATCCACAGATGGATCAGCGGAAGTTTACTTACGGACTTAAAACTAAAATACAACGATCGATTCCCCATATAAGACAGAGCGCAGACAGCACATTGTGTAACTTTGTGCTAAAACAAAAACAACAGCACTGTTTAACGTCATGAAAAGACGCAAGTGTTTTATTTTTATACATTTACAAATCTCTTACTTTTGGGCCCCGCGGTGGCTCAGTGTTAAGTCTGAAGGCTTATAACGATAAAATTCGGGTTTCGATACCCGCGGTAGACGTAGAACAGGTAGCACATTTTATAGCCATTTGCACCACAAAAAACAAACAAACCTATTTTTGGCTTGGTCTAGTTATTCGGGACGTGCTTTGACACATTTCTTGTGAAATAAGGTCCTGTAACAAAATATTACAAATTTCACACGAGTAAAAGAGTGTCACAAAAATGCATTCCGTATTTCTTAAATTTTATTATAAAGAGCAACATTTTAAGGTAGTTTGATACCTGATCAAAAGTTAGCAAAAACGATTGATCGATTATTGTTTTCTCAGTAATATCAATAGTTTCCCGAAAGGGATCTCCGGTTTTAACCACTCGCACCACAATACAGTAATGTGTTATCTGTCTGTCAGTCAGTCAGTAGACATGTTGGGATTTGCACAGTCGTGACGTCAGTAAAACGTGCGCATGTCATGAATCGTGAGAAGAATTATGTACTTTTTAGGTTACATGACATATGAACTTCAAGAGCAAGAAATGAAAACATTTGTTACTCTTAATTTTGGTTTTATTTACTCTTCCCATAGAATACTTTCGGGGACCCTGCGGAAGTACATCAAGTACATATACGTGGAAATTCGAAAAAAAAGTTATCTAATTTTTGTATTTTATTCTTTACGAATACATTCTTATTTAACGGAAACCAGAATATAAAAAGTTCACCTCTATCAAGTTGATGGTTTGCACGTGATACTTGCCTAGATCATACTAAATTATTCTTGGTAAGTATAATGTACTGTATTTAGAACTTACGTCTTATATGTTGAGATATTAATGATGTATTTGAGTCAAAGGCCAATTACTTTTCTCTAGTATGGTTGAGATTCTTGCTCTATTGAGTCGTACCAATAACTGTTCCTGAAAGGTGAAACAGAC